AAAAAAAAAAGAGCATAAAGTGTATTTTTTAGTATAAATCATTGTTTTAAAATTTGGATCGGCCGGTCCAACCGGTTGGACCGAGACCCAGTCACGTGTCTGGTTTGATCCAACATAAAACCCGGCATTAATAAATGAACCGTTATAAATAGTCAATAAACCGTGTAAACCGCTGGTCGGACCAAACCGATTGAAAAACCGGTCCAGCGTCTGAAAGGGGAAAAAATCCATAATTTCTCAGTTTCTCCGATTTCTCAATTTCTCTGATTTCTCTTTTCTCTATGCAAAATCCTCTGAAAAAATGTTAACACAAATATGAAAATTTGAAATCCCACACAAATCGTCACTCAATCTCAACGAAATCCACTCTCTGAGTCTGAAATCGTTGTTGAAATCGATCGCAACTCAAGCCTCTGAAATCGCGACAACGCCTTCCTCCCTCGCCGAAAATCGATCAACACAATACACAAACGATTTTAAGATTTCTCTTACCTAGGGCAATTGAATCAGTGATCGACTGGATTGAAGTGGAGTCGTGCTTAGTTACTGCATAATATTGAATCAAAAATGAATAGGGAATTGGAGAGTAGAGATAGAGGATTTAAACGGAATTTGAAATGTCATGATGGTGATTAGGCCAGAAAATGGAGTTATGGAGATGCCAAGACAGATTAGACGGTGTCACAGTGGTGGTTCAGCCTTTGGGAGTTGGAGACGGAAAGGATTCAAAGCAAACGGGATTTGGGGTTGCTATTTGGGTTTTATTGCGTTTTGAATTTGTATTGAAGTGGTTAAGTTCCTGTTTCCGTATGGGTTTTATTTATTCTCTTGGGTTGAATGATGTTTGTTGTTTCTAGGGTTTAGCAATTTGTGGGGTTAATTGAGTTTGTGATTTGTGGGGTTTAGAATAAGTTTCGATCCTATTGATTATAAAAGTATCGACAAAACTGAAGCTTGGATAGTTGATGACGAAGAAGAGGTCAGTGAACTTAATTATGAGGAGTTTGAACAAATGTTATATAAAGAATGATCTATTCTTATTGGAGTTTTTTATCACCCTTCTTTTTATGATTTAACCGATGATTCAAAATGTTAGTTTCAATTATTTAAGCAACTTAGTAGCTATTTAAATTAAATTACAAGTCTTAACTTATGATTTTTATTTTTTACTAAAATTTACGTAAATTATGGTGATGGTTATGATGATGATGATGGTGATGAATTTTAATGCTAGTGTTTAAAACTCAATCAACATGAAGACAGATCAAAGAAAAATCACTTGAACCAAATGTTTTGTTATTAATTATTATGTATTTTTTTCACTTAATATGTAATAAATGAATACAACATCATATTTAGATTTGAATTTTGGATTATTGTTAAATACTTAAATTATATTAGAATTGTTATATTTGAACTTTGAATCGTGTTAAACAGTAATTAAGTTGTTATTGTTTTATTAAAACATAAAAATCTTAAAAAAAAAAAAATTTTTTTTAGTGTGCTGACATCGTCATGCTGTGTGTGACCAGGGCAGAGAACGGATTGCCATCCGGTCTGGGTTTTAAAACAGTGATATAAATAACCTCACCCAAATTAAAGGGAAAAAAAAAAAAAAAAAAGTTCGTAAACCATCATAAGTTCATCTACCTCGAATCACCAAAAAAGGTGACATTATCAATTCATTTTAACCAAAAAAAAAAAAAAAGTTGTCCACCCATATCTATTATCCATCATCAAAAAGAAACAAAGTCATGCATTAAGCAGGTAACTGCGCGTAGAAAACATACTTCATCTAAAAATTGAAATTGTGTAAACAAAAGTAGCATAGAATGAAGACACTAACTACTTCTCTTAATAAAGGTATCGGCTTTTCAGTACTGCACACATGTGCTCATTTAATAAATTCAAGGCCTACAGATCATCACCGTTAAAAAAAGCGCTGCTCAAATATATTTATGGTAACATCAGGTGNAAAAAAAAAAAAAAAAGTTCGTAAACCATCATAAGTTCATCTACCTCGAATCACCAAAAAAGGTGACATTATCAATTCATTTTAACCAAAAAAAAAAAAAAAGTTGTCCACCCATATCTATTATCCATCATCAAAAAGAAACAAAGTCATGCATTAAGCAGGTAACTGCGCGTAGAAAACATACTTCATCTAAAAATTGAAATTGTGTAAACAAAAGTAGCATAGAATGAAGACACTAACTACTTCTCTTAATAAAGGTATCGGCTTTTCAGTACTGCACACATGTGCTCATTTAATAAATTCAAGGCCTACAGATCATCACCGTTAAAAAAAGCGCTGCTCAAATATATTTATGGTAACATCAGGTGGCACCTCCATCAAGCAGATTAAAATTAACCCCAAACCTATGTGAGAAGACCGTAATACAATGATCCACTTAATCAAGCAAATGCTGATAGAATATTTTTCTTCAGGGTGAATTCGTCTGCCTTTGCTGGGCTGATCGACTGCACCAGAATAAAAAAATAAAAAAAACACATGATCTCAACATTATTTCAATAATCTTGAAGGTTTTATTTCAGAATAGCACTTAATCCTCCACATCTTAACAGTGTTCTCCTGATACCATAACCATCTAAAAACTTCACAATCAGATGTTAAAGAGTATTATATCCCTATAATACCAAATGCAATAAGTAGGATGGTATTTCTTCTGCCAGAAAAAGCTTTAATATACAATATTAAAGTATGTGCTTGCTGAGATAACAGTCAATATTCTCACCTTCTCAAGAATGCGCTGAAGCCTGTCAATCTCCTTGTTGGCATACTCAGAACCCTTGTCCATATAACTCTTTGCAACTTTCAAGTAAATCTTTCCATACCTAGAAACAGGAAACAGAATAACTTATATCTAGTCTCCTAGCGCTTTATCAGAAAGAAGTCTAATTTTGAGCAAAGAGTAAGGATAGGATACATATTGTAAGTAACAATATAATAGAGAACATAACAATCCTGACACATAAGAGTCCATCAATTATGAACTAAAAGACAAGACTGAATACTAGATGTATACAATAATATAAGACAAGTACCTTGCAGTGGAACCCTGTAGCTTTCCAACTTCCTCTTCTATCTTGGCAAAAACTGCCTTCTTCTTATCACTGCTGGCAGCTACAAACTCCTTTATCAAGGCATCCAGGTGTGCAACTATACCAGCCTATTTGAAAATTCTAAAAATCAATATACGAGTAAATGATAACAAAAAACTATCATAGTCATTTAAATCAGGAGTTACTAACATTTGATGTAAATTGTCCTTTTCCATCTCGGCTGGTACCACACTTCCCGTTGATGAAAGAGACAAAGTCATCTAAATCTCTGCCACCCTCATAATCTTCACCAGCTTTGTTGCTCCGGGGGAAGAATTTCAATGTAGGATACCCACTTACTCCATACCTGCGCATAGAGAAATAGTCTCAATTTAGACATCTTTAATGTTGGGAAAGCATATTTGAGGCCAAATGAGCATATAAAATTATAAATTAAGTTTCCACTTACTTTTCTGCCAGATCCTTGTACTTGTCAGCATCCAGATTAGCAATAACCACATCATCTTCCATTTTAAATGCTGTGGCCACCTTTTCATATGTCTGGAGCAAAACAACCGGACAGTACAAATGGTTAATGAGACAGAAGCAACAGAGAACACTTATCTAAGTAAATAGGTAACCCATACTTACAGGAGCAAGACTTTTGCAATGGCCACACCTGAAAAAGGTAAAATCCAGAAACCATTTAATACAAAGCACAGCCATGTGGGGACAAGAACAAAAAAGAACAAGATAAAACAAAACCCATGTCCATGAAGGTTTCAAGACCAAGAGGGCATTAATAAAATATAAAAAGATTATAGAGAGAGCACCATTACTCACCAAGGTGCATAAAACTCAATCAAAACATCTTTGGACTCGTCCAAGACTACCGTGTCAAAGTTATCAGCCGTTAGCACCACCACATTGGATGGAACGGCAGCTATCTTCACATTGGTCCCTGTAAATAATTTAAATGATTAAGACACACTATATATAATTTTTTTGCATATAAAACCATGCAAGGTGCAGATGGGGAAGGTCAGCACCAAAAGATGGCTGGGTGCTTACAATAAATACAAACATATCAATACAGTCCTTCTAGCATCATACCTTCCCCTATAAAAGAAAACTACTTTTTCCAAAATTTTTACATTGTCTAATATTATGGAAGAGAAGTCGAAAGGACTACACTTGTCGATAAACGAGCTAACCGGTTATGATTTTAGTTGATTAACATATTTGTAAAAGGGAATTTTGCTGACACTACCTCCTTCATTATTCACAAACTCGGCAAGAGATTCTGCTGTACGTGGCCCTTCATACCTGCAAAGTTCAAAATTTAATGTACTCAGCAGACACAGATGCAGATTTAAAAGGAAATAAAGAATTGAATTAAAAATGACGTGAACTTTATTGGACTCCACTCACTTTTTGGGTTCCAAAGATCCTTTAGGAAACCATTGAATTGTTGGGTATCCTGAAACCCCATACTTGCTGCATACGCTCTTCTGCTCATCACAATCCACCTACACCACCACATAAACATATAGAATGTCAAGAAAGAACAAATGAGTTTCTAATAAATAAGGAAGCGACAAGAAGTTAAAGTTTTAAGTTAAGCTAAGAATACTATGAAACAATGTTTAAGAAAAGAAATATTAAAAGACAGCCAAACAAATAGGAGCAGGCAATTGTTGATGAGCTCACCTTTCCAATCAGAACAGACTTAGCTTTCTTAAAGCTTGCGCCGAGGTTCTCATACTCGGGAGCAAGCTTTTTACAGTGCCCACACCTGTCACAGTAAACACAAAACATATTCAGGAATTTAATCTTAGGTTGGACAACTGCCTTTCAGAATCCAGCATAAAGAATTACAGAAGCTTCAAGAAAAACATCTCGGAAACCTTGATAACATTCTACAAAAAGAAAAACATCACTTTAGGAACTCTTGGGAATGTTTTAGCTTGTTTCCTATTGAACAAGCTCCCTCTTGCTGATCATAGCATCCCTTAAAGTTGAAAGACGAGATTTGAAACAGAGAAAAGTACTGAATTGTTCAATATCTAGATGCTGAGGGAAATAGTTTATCTCCAGCATCAGCAAGATTTGAAGAAAAATACACAATAACTCCTGATAGATCATTGATTTATCTTTTCTCGCTAACCTTAAACTGCACCAACAATATGAACAAAATCATTTTTCTCAGTTTTGTATGATCTTTCTTTTCACCTAATCTGCTTTTCGCATTCAGTCACTCGCAAATTTAACCGATATACAAAAATCTAAATAATATTAAATTTGGGGACACACGACATTACACGATGCCTATCGATCGTTCATTAAACAAGGACCAGTATGACACTGCTAGTTATAACAACAAATCAAAAGTGAAAATCCACCACAAAAACAGATCTGCATAATAAATAATCACGATCGGCACTAAATGCCATAGTGACGGTAAAAGCGATGATTCAAGAAAGAGTAATAGGCATACCAAGGAGCATAGAACTCAACGAGCACTCCTCTGTCTTGACCAACCTCCTTATCGAAGTTGTCCTCTGTTAGCACAACGACATCGTCAGCTAGAGCTGATACGAACAGCAAGGTTAGAGTCCCTAAGGCTAGCAAGATCTGATTCTTCTTCATTTCTCTCTTTGTTTGATTTGTTGCACGAGTATTTGTTTTCAGCTTAATTCGAACTTTATATGTGAGGTCTTTGTTTTCAATGGTTTGGTTTTTTTTTTTTTTTGGTAATGTTTAATATTTGTTTATTTCTTTTTTTTTTTCATGCGCACGACCTTAATCTGGCTGATGTGGCGTTCTACAATTTGTTGATGAGACGTGGAAGTTTGAGGGTACTGTGGGTTCGTTGTCTTTCACTGACGATTGGCACCTATGGGGGCGGTTCCTCTGCCTTTGTGAAGCTGAGCCTGACGTGTTCCTTACCACGTGCCGAATTACGAGACGTAAAACAACCGTTGACTCAGTATTTCTTTTTTTTTTTTTTTTCCCCTGAAAATCAGATAAGATTTGTCAAAGCCCAACTAGTCTTGGGCTATACAAACTAGTATTTACCTTGGTTTGGGCCCTGGCTCATAGCCACGTGTATCTCCCAAATTCAGCGAACGTTTTTGTATAAGCAAATAATATAAATATAGCAATGCTAGATTTTCCAATTAAGTATTTTGAATCTGTGATTCTGCGATATTAATTTCCTTATTTATTTTGTTACTTAATCATACTTATTAATTGTAAACCAAATCAACATTACTCGAATTTGAAAGTTGGGATTAAACTTAGGAATAGTTTTATTCAAAAACTTTCCAATGCCCCAATGAAGTTATCCATCCCACACCTTCAGATGCCTTAGCTTCTTTGAGTTGTTAATTGAAAACAAAGCTTGAGTTTGGGATTTTCCGTATTTTCAGGTAATAGCATAACGGATTGTTAATTTGTTGAATCATGAATCTGGAAAGATTTTATGGACAAGCAAGTAGACAACAGTAGTGTGCAAGTAAAGTTGAAAACTAATTAACGTGAAGGACGTGGGTGATGTTGTAAACAAAACACCTTCTCCTCGTTTAAGACAAGAAATTGGTTAGGGATTGACCAAGTAATTTAAAATCACTTCTTAAACAAAAATGAGTTTCATAGTAGCCACTCAAAGTACCATAAAATGATTTTTTGATTGGGAGGAGTGGCGCATAAGTTTATGTCACTTTTCTTTTAATTCTTTAACCAGGATTTGCTGCTTTCGTTGGTTATTAACCAGACTGAAGCGTAGATTAGAGCTCCTTTGGACAAGCCACACATACCTCAATTGAAGCATCCATGGGCTTGTTAAATTGGTAATTTCTTAGAATTTTGTCCACTTTCAAGTTTAAAGCTTTCCTTTTCGTAGACCATTAACCTGGATTTTAGTTGAGGCCTGCTAGTATGAACTATGAAGTACCGGTTGATGTAGTCCAAGATAAAACTACTGTACAATACCGTCGGTATAATACTTGAATATGAGATCCATATTGAAGTTAATTTGGAAAATTTGTCGTTTCGAAACAGCTACCAAGTCGGGTCCACGTTGATCCTTTTTCGGTGTGTAGCTAGATATAGAATAATACTACACATACATCATTCTCATATAACATTATGTGGTAAGATGTGATTGGGTGAAAGTTTAATTTTAACTTTAAATTAGCCAATCATATCTTGTCACATAATATTGTATGGAAAATGTTATATGAAAATGATGTATGTATAGTATAACTCCTAGATATATTGTAAAAGGTCAACAATACTTGTAGTTATCACATTAAATTTGTGTTAATTGATTTGATAATATTGTATTAATTATGAATTTAGTTATAATGAGTGTGGACAAATATGTCCCAAACTAGTCGACTTTAGACATATTTTCAATTAATTCAACCCCATATTAATATCAAT